TCCGGACGCGAAGGGGTGAGCGCCCGAAATTGGACTTCAAATAATGCATGACTAGTGTGCGTCAAAAATTGTAAAATTGGGAGTCCTTTATAGGTGAAACACAAACGTTCGGATATACAATTCGCTTTGGACTCACGGCCATCCCTGTTCTTCATGCCCCTTTCTCTTTTTTGTTTTTGGCTATTTTTTCGGTTTTTCAAACAAAAATTGGCCTATTCTCTGGTGTGGCACCATATGTCTCCAAATTATATTTAAAAAATGCCATGTCAACATTCTCCGTCACTCAAATCGAACGAAGCTAACAGAAGTACTCAATCGACCAATTTGACAAGTTGTAGGACTTGATTGCACTTTTCGAAAATTTGAGGATCCGATTGCACTTTCGGGACAAGTTTTGAGACATCCCGTGCACTTATCCCCAATATAAATCAACTTTCAAGATATTATTTACATAGAACGGCACCTAATATCTACGTATCAGAAGCTGTACAGTTTTTCTAAGTCACGTGTGAACAAGACCCAAATGAAATGTAAATGGACCCATCAATTTATATGATTCACTATTCACACCAGTGGAATACCCCATATCCATGTTCCTAAGGCCCCCTAGGCCGCCCGATATCGAGAGCGTAGAAAATATCCACGTTCGTGCATTCAACATCACGCACAATCGATCTGACCATGTCTTTGTATATCATATGCCATTCTACTCGTTTTCTGATAAAAATGCGAGGATTGTCTTTTCAAGATTGTCATGTTATTCAGTGGAGTTTGATATTAGTTAGCATCAGCATGAAAGAGATTCTCAACGACAGATAAACAAAGCTAGTGGAAGCATTTCCAAGTCCCTTCTTTCCTTTTCTTGGAAAATATGGGGGCGGCCGGAGGACCCCCTTCTTCGGCATAGCTCGATTTTCTCGTCCTCCTCCTCCTCCGATCTGTTCTCACTACCGTGACGCGAGTTTTCGGCATATCGAAGAGCTGTCGAACGAAGCTCTTTGCCGGAAATGCCAGACATAGCTGCGAGAACAAAGCTAAGTTGGTGGTGCCAGAAGGTTAGAAGAAAATGGAGATAAGCTGAACCCCCCACCAGGAGTGGGAGGAACAGCACCAGCAGATACAAGGATTTCATCAGAAACAAGAATTTCAAGAGGTCACGAGTCATAATTGTCTATGGACTGTTAGGATTCGTCGTACAATTACAAAGAAAATAGATAATAAAAGCAAGAAAGAAATTTGAGACGTAAAATTTTATCCTAGTCTTAAACTAGAGTTACGTCTAGTAGATGATTCCACTATAATTAGCACCTCGCACCTCTCTATTACATTTCTCAATTACAAGAAAATATATATATAGGCAAAAATTTGATTAAAAATAGGAAATATCATTCTAAGAAATTTACTTGAATCACGAAACTTTCCTTTTTTGGGCTAAACTATATAAGCCCTCTAGCGGCTCAGGAGTATGAGTGAGACCCCGCGCTCTCCTGTCTTTGGGGAGCATAAACCACACCCCAACATGGATGAGAGGAGATCGCGCTCATGCCTAGCAAGAGCGAGAGGTTTAAGTCGAGTCGGGGCAGGTCGTTTCAAAAGGTTCGAACGGGAGACCCTGGCGGGATTAACAAAGATATAACTTTTTCTTCCATTCCTTTATGGAATTAGGGAGGTCCACAAAGTTTTGGAAGTCGACTTTCGAAGTCTTCTGTCGGAGGGATAGCCCACCAACTCCGCCACTCGGTAGAATGGCTGACTCGTGGGCGTTATAGATCGGTAAAAGTGGAATAGAGAAAGCAAGATTATACGAATTCAATACTTCGATAACAAGATCGCATAGAGGAAAAATCTCAGACCTGCTTCAAAAGCCTTAGAATAAAAGCAACACTTTCCTTCAAGGGAATTGCAAGCACGATTTTTTGGAGAAGGTAGTTTAAAGAAAAACTCAGCAGGATCCTATATTCATTCCTTAAAAGAAATGGGAGATATTATCAAAAAAGTCTTAAATCTATTGAGCTTATTCAGCAATGAACCTTATAATTTAGTCAATTTAGTACTAAATCTTTTAACAATTCTGATCAAAATTAGTCGAATAGATTACATTGGCAAATTAAAAGGTTTATGACTAAATTGGCCAAATGAAAAGATTTATGACTGAATTGGCACAAGTGCAATAGATTTATGATTTTTTTGGTAATTATCCCAAAATATGAGATGATGCCCAGAAAGAGTGCTAAAAATTTCATAATCGGAGAACTTATGAGCTTGAGCCATCCTTTAGAATTTTGGAGAAAGAACCTAAAAACTTGATAGAAAGAAAAGGACTCTAAGGCTCTATTTGTCTCGCAAAAAATGAATGATGTAGAATTTTTTTTTCCTAAAAATGATCGCCTGTGCCGAATGAAATATGAGTTACATTATCGGCAATAATTTATCTCTAAACATTTTTGTCAACGATAAAAATATTTTTTATTCATTTATTTTTGTAAACGATACAAGTGATCAGTTTTAAGAAAATATTTTTTCATATGATTCATTTTTCACGGAACAAATGGAACCCAAAAGAAAGACGGAAGGATTAAACGGAAACACGACCTTAGGAAGCAATCTAGACCTTAGGCGTTTCAAAATCTTAAAAAAGTTCAACCTCAAGATGTGATATGGGCCTAGTCCAGAACCAGGTGATAGTACATCCAACACAATACGTGTTAAGGGATCCAAGTCCATTCAGTAAACCAAATCCAGCACACAAAGCCCAAAAGATGGACTCATCACACATCCATCACCGAACGTTGGCCCCCGAGAACGGTGGAGCACCTCCAAACCGCCTGGGGTGCACACGGTCAAGGTAACAAAGCCCGAAGTGCCAGAAATACCAGAGGACGAAATTTGGATAGGCTCGAAAATGGTAGGATCCAAATTAACTCGTTCACATGCCATGCAAATTCAGCGTTCCATACCCGCCCCGCCCCGTATTCGATTCATACCCGACCCGACCCTTTACTCTAATTCTTAGCACTCTTTCTTCTTTAAATGTTGTCTTTCATGAATGGGCGGCTCCGTGAATTGGCTTGCCAAGTTGGTGAGGGAGCTCGGCTGCTTAGATCGGGTTCGAGAGTGAGGTTATGGACAGGAGTGTATAGTTGGTAGTGAGGCGAAGGGTGGTGGATATTTACCGAGGCAATAAGCAATGCCCTAGCTCTCATGAACCGGTTCACTGTCATCGGTTGGCCACGTTAAGGTCCTGCAAAGTGCAAGAACATAGATAATATTCATTAGTGCTTAATTATGAACTGGCTGTGGGGGTTTATCTCGTTCTTGAATGGACTATATAGCTGTAGTTTTCTCTTTTTTGTGGGAACTCTGTGGTTTCCTCCTTACAAGTGCTACAAGTATTAGGATACATTCGTTTCGCAAAAAATGAGTAATTTGAAAAACATTTTTCGAAAAATGGTTACTTATATCGTTTAGAAATATTAGTCGACGGAAAATTTTTTCATCATTGTTAACAATCTATACTTAACTATTTTCGTGGGCGATAATTTTATTTATTTATTTATTTTTGTAAGCGATACAAGCTTTTTTTGGAAAATGATTTTCAAATTACTTATTTTCCACGAAACGAACGCACCCTTAATATAATTTTCTATCAAAACGAGCACCAGATATCATTTGCATATTTTTAATACGAGAACCGGCCGGAATTTGTATTTCCGGCGATTTCTGGTAGCTCTCTCCTGAGATCAAAGTGTTCGAAAGATGACGCCTATTAGAAGTGTATTCATGTTCACAAATTGGAACGCTCGGTCCACAGTGCACGGTCCATTCTCAGCTCTCAGATTCAATCGACAACATTGAGGCCTAGCTGAAGAGAAAATACCCACTGGGCTGCAGTGAAACTGAAAATGCCGATTTGATCACTAATCCCTTGGGGATCCCTCGAGATCAAGACATGATTTTAAAAGGGGCTTGGCTAGCATGACAGTTTTTGGGCGATTATGAAAGCAACGGCATGTCGTGGGCCACAAACGGATGTGATCGGGACATTTATGTGTTTCCCAAAGGCCACCTTTCTCAGACTAAATATTTTACATAGGCAGCCCATGTGTCGGAAGATTTTCAATGACGAAAATGATTTGTTCGAGATATATATGATAAGGAGTTCTTGGAGATAATATTAATTATTTCAACATCATAAGTGTTGTAATTTTTGTACGACGCTCACTTTAATACCATTACTTTTCAATCGATCACTTGAGTATAATAATTTTATTTTCTAGTAATTTCATGTTCTTCAAGAGATTCCTCAAAAATTTATGTGAAATTAAAAAAAGATAAGCCGAAAAAGTTGCCTGAGAGATGAGATATTATCTCCTGAAGTTTTTGCCTCTCAAACTCCTTGCAATAGGACATATTATGGGAGACATGTTCTAATAACGTTCACTCGAGCAACTTAAAATGCGGCATTAAAAGTTATGACACTTATGATGAAGTTCTTTAAAAAATTATAACACTTGAGTGATTGATTGAAAGATTATGACACTAAAGTGAGCGTTGTATGAAAGTTATGACACTTATTTTGCGACGTCCTTTCCTCTCGGACCGCCACTACTGATGCATCTTCCGGTACGAACTAATGGCAAAAGTTTAAGATTCTTTGTTAGAGAACTAATTGTGAGGCGGGGTCAAAGAGAGAGTTCAGTCTTTCTTTAGAATTTCTGCGTAGACTCCTGCATCAATCAAGAAAACGCTAGCAAAATCAAATTTGCATTCTTGCGACAAGCTACCGGAGAAATTTCATCTTCCTTGCATTCTTGAGCGTGAAGCAAAAGCAACCCAATCGAAATGGCTTCTAGCTATTGCCCTCGAAAGTGACAAAATCCACTTCTTCTTATTTAGCTGCTTTCCTTGACTCCATCTTCCCTATTTCTCTATGCAGAAAGACAGATTCCTCAAGGATATATATATATATATATATATATATATATATATATATGGATGTTAAGATCCAACACAACATAGCCTTCAACGAAATAGCCTCTCTTGTCCTCTCGCAATGTCACAGATCAGTGAGCGCAAGAGCACCATCCACGTGGCTCTATTCCCGAGTTCAGGGATGGGCCATCTGACGCCGTTCCTCCGCCTGGCCGCCTCGCTCGTCGCTAACGACGTCCGAGTCACCTTCATTGCCGCGCATCCGACGGTCTCGCTCGCCGAGTCGCGCGCCCTCTCCAGTTTCTTCACCAGCTTCCCTCAAGTTAGTCCCAAGCAACTGTGTCTACTTCCCAATGACGAGTCTTCTAGCAACACCGACGATCCTTTTTATCGCCGTTATGAAGTTATCTGTAGCTCCTGCCGCCTCCTCCCTCCCCTCTTATCGTCGATATCTCCACCCCTTTCTGCTCTCATCACAGACATGAGCTTGATCTCCGCAGTCCTTCCTGTGTCTCGAGCCATCGGCCTTCCAAATTATGTTTTCTTCACGTCCTCCGCCAAAATGCTGACCCTCTTCATGTCCTTCCACAAAATATTTGTCACGAAAGCCATGCCCGGTTCTCAGGATAACAAAGATGTCATTGAGATACCGAATCAAGAACCAATACCCGTCTCATGGTTTCCGCCGCCCCTATTGGAAGAAGAAGACAACTTCCTAAAAAATTCTCTCATTCAGAACGGCAAGAGTATGGTCGACGCAGATGGGATTTTGATCAACACGTTCGATGACTTTGAGCCGGATACGTTAAATGCGCTAAACAACGCGAAAATGCCTTGTGGATTGCCACCTGCAATTGCCATTGGACTGCTTCCACCAGCTAACTTCGGAGAGTCTCATTCTCATCCGTTGGCTTGGCTGGGCAATCAACCGATAGGATCGGTTATTTATGTGAGCTTCGGCAGTAGAACAGCCATGTCGAGGGACCAAATAAGAGAACTGGGCGATGGCTTGGTACAGAGCAGCGTGAGGTTTGTATGGATGGTGAAAAGCAAGAAGGTGGATCAAGAAGACACAGAGGACCTGGAAGATGTGATCGGGCAAAAGCTGATGACAGCAACCTCGGGTGCGGCGAACGGCTTAGTTGTGAACCGCTGGTTGAACCAAAGCGAGATACTAGGCCACCCGGTAATAGGCGGGTTTCTGAGCCACTGTGGGTGGAATTCGGTCACAGAGGCCGTGTGGCATGGCGTTCCAATGCTGGCATGGCCTCAGCACGGAGACCAGAAGATCAACGCGAGCGTGGTGAAGAGGGCAGGGATCGGGATTTGGGAGGAGAGTTGGGGGTGGGGCGAGAAGGACATGGTGAAGGGAGAGGAAATAGCGGAGCGGGTCAAGGAGACGATGAGGGATGAGTCACTGAAAGCACGAGCTGCGAGCATGAAAGAAGCCGCCAGGACGGCCCTCGGAGTGGATAGGGATTCGGGAAGGGGATTCAAAGCACTACTCACTGAGATGTGGGGTGCAAAATAGGGCGCGCTTTGATTGTTAACACAAACAACTATATGGCATTCGCGTAACAAAGATCGAATAATAATCCGCGTTAACGCAACCGAATATTATCTTCTGATTCTGTAAGCTGCATGTTTACTTCCATATAGGCCTTCCTCTTTCGCAAATGCTCAGCATCTTCATAAGCACCAGGAAGACCCCGCTGATTCTGCAGACCACCGCCGAAACTGCAAAAGGCAACCAACTTGGCAGCCCAAAGACCAATTTCGTTCAGAGGCAAAAGGATGCACGAAATACCAAGGAACTTAAAATATTCAGATCACGCATCATTAGAAGTCAACGGTGAGATTCACGTGATAATGATTAAGATGCCTTCGGTCCACGTGAACTATAGAAAATGTAATGATTTCTCCGTGATCAAGGATAGTTGTCAAAAGACTGATGGAACCTGGAAGCAGCCACCAATGAAAGCTACAACACGTGATGATCGCAAGAGAGATTCGTGTCAGATAGCTTGAAAAACCGAGTCAGAACCTCTGGTTGGATGCAAAATGAGGAAAAGGGCATTCGTTGTATACCCAAAACCTACCTGTAACACCTCGGAATTTTCAATCCTAAAATCCCCAATTTATGGTATCTTGATGTCCTTGATTTTCCTTAATAATTACTAGAAGTACTATTACCTTAAATTAGGGGTGATTAGTTCCCAATTCGATCCAGTTCTAAGATGGAACCGAAATCGGGACCAGGCTGGTTGGTCCTAGGATCGAAACCGGACCAGTCCAATGGAATTAGTCACTTTTTTTCCCACTACTTGATGCCATATGTTTCGAAACTGGAATTGTGTTCCTCATGCCGACTAGGGGTGTCAATGGGTCGGGTCGGGTCGGGTTTTCATGATACCCAACCCGACCCGAAACAATGAATATATGTATTTGGCCCGACCCGAAACAAGACCCGAACATGATATAGCCGCACAATCGGGTCGGGTTCGGTTCGGGTCGGGTTGGTTCGAGTCGTGTTTTAGATTTTTATTATAAATTAAGGTTAAGTTACACATAGGGGTGTCAATGGATCGGGTTGGGTCTAGTCTCCACGCTACCCGACTCGACCCGAATCATAAAAGATATATGGACTATTGACCCGAACCAAACATGACGTGAAACGCAAAACCGGGTTGGGCCGGGCCGGGTCGGGTTGCTGAGACGATGCACGACGACCACCACCGCCGCTAGAATCTCTCTCTCTCTGGCACAGCGCATTTGCTTTCAATGGCGGTCCATCCTCACAAGCAGGTGAAGTCGCGCTTCGTCTCTCCATCCCGCGTCTCGCACCACATTGTCTGTATTTCGCAGCATTGCGTTCTATTCGCGGCTGAGCTTGATCTTGATCTTGATCGAACGATTCGACGGTTCTTTTTCTGGGAATTTCCGCTCGTTCTGTGCGTACCCTTTGAAGTTGTGATGATATATAGTGTTGGGTGTTGAAAGAATTTGAAAAAAGGCCTGAACTTTGTCGTTGTTTTGGTAAAATTTGAAGTCTGGATGTTTGTGCGAGAGGCTTGAGGGGGGTGCGCGTGCTTGACTGAGCTTGAAAATGGGAAGATGCAAAGTGGAAATTTTGGCGGAGAAATTTGTTGCCAACTCCTCCTCCCCTCCTTTCTGTGCGCTGGTGATCTCTGATGTGTTCCCAGTACAAATGTCTAGATACTGTAGTGAGTGCCGGTTATTTGGTCCGTGTGTTAAGTGTCGCCCGCATCCTGACAGGAGAGCTTTTCGACAGGAAAGAGTGTGCTTCCCGGTGGTTGCAGATGCAAGCGACGATCTTCCCATCGGTTTTCAGTGCTTCCACGCGCTAGATTCGATTATTGAGGAAGACAGCCAATACTGTCAGCTGAGTAATTTAGCTTCAGACACATCATGTAAGGAGGACGAAGTTGAACGACAGTGCTACAAAGTAAAATGTGTTTCGGTTCTAAAAATAAAAAAATATGTGTTTCGGTTCGGTTCGGTTCGTGTTCTAAACACGAACCGAACCGAAACCATTGAGATACCCATTTGCTTAGCTAATACCCGAACATGAAGTTGACCCGACCCGAAAATACCCAGAACTTCGGGTCGGGTTGGATCGGTTTGTGTTTTGGTTCGGGTATATTGTTTGGTTTTGACACCCCTAATGCCGACTACACATAATCACAAAAATAAGTGTGCAATTCGAGCCAATTCGATGACAAATCGATGTAAACTGATCAAAACATGCCGACTATACATGTATTACTATCATTTGATGGGTGGTGTTAACTGACGCTGACGAGTGGCAACTGGACAAGACTCTAGAGGTCGAGAAGATTGAAGTACTTCACCTAGGGTTTAGTTCACATTTTACTAATTAAAATATTTTTAAAAAAGTATATGTAGTCGGTCCAGTCCGATCAATCTGGTTCTCCCTTGGAATCGGGAACCGGACCGCCCAAACACCGGTTACACTTTTAGGAACCGAGAATCGAACCAACACTCCCGAGAACCAGACCCAACCGATCGGTTCGATCCAATCCGGGCGGCTTCCGGTTCGGGTGGTCCGTTTTGCACACCCTACCTCATATACCTCAACTTTCTCTCATTTTCGAATTAAGGTTTCGTTCGTTTCATGAAAAATGTAACGTTTTTGAAAAATATTTTCTAAGAAACTATTTTCCAGGAAAATGATACAATTTTCCGGTGTTTGGCTAAAATCTGAAAAAAAAAAAAAACACGGAAAATATTTTTCGCAGTTTGGTATGGAAAATATAATTTGATTTTCCTCCATACACTACTTTTAATAATTTATTATTTTTACTTTTTTAAAATCAATTTTCTAATTTTTCTTTTCTTTCTTTTTTTTCCTTCTTCTCCAACCGATCGCCGGCCACTGCGATGGCCGATGACCGAGGCTCAAGCTCACCAGATTGGCAACACTTGAGCATCGCCAGAGGGCGGTGAAGCTCAGGTCTCACCAGAGGTGGGTGAGCTCGCTCGCGCGCTGCCTCATGAGTTGCAGTCTGGCAAGCTCTCTTGCCGTCAACTCGTGAGCTCATCGTGACTCGCGAGTGGCAAGCTTGAGCTCTCAAGATCTGGCAAGGCCCAAGCCTCGCCGCCCTCTAGTGATGCTCGATCTTGCGAGCTTGAGCCTTGCCGGGAGATGGTGAGGCTCAAGTTTGCCTGTGGCTGGTCGCCGGCCTTCGCCGTGGTCGGCAATTGTTCATTGTGGTTGGCAGTTGGCCGGAGAAGAAGGAGAAAAAAGAAAAAAAAACAAAAACAATTAAAATAAATGGTGAAAGAAGAAAGAGCGAAAATGATCTCTTCTTTTCAAAAAAAGGAAATTATTTTCCCACTTTTAAAGGAGTTTTTTACATTAAGAAAAATATTTTCCTTGACTAGTTATTTCCCGTAAACCGAACACCGAAAAATTCAAAAAATATTTTCCTGAAAGTTATTTTTCGCGAACAAAGTTTTTTTGTTCACTCAAGTACTCGAAGTCTTCAAAATTTGCTTAATTAGTACTTTCGTTAAATAAATTGCCATGTCGTGTACTTTTTGATGACGTGGCTTGCTTCTCCAATAAGAATCATGCGTAATTATTGTACGTGGCTCATTGCTCGGCAAAAATTATGGCAACACAGTAAAAATGATGCCAGCTCGGCCGTCTTATGCATATGATGAAGAAAGATGACATGGAAGCATCTCACTGGTCTAATATGTACTTGCTAACATTCTATCATCTTTCACGGAACAAAAAAAAAATTCTATCACCTTTTGATAAAAAAAAAACACTGTATCATCTTAAGAAGACACATTGGTGTCCTAATTAAGTGTACAACTAGCGGAAATTAATGTAAAAATCAGCCAACGTAAGTCCCTATGTGTACTTAAGAAATATGCAATGGAGATGGGAACATGACAATTGAAGTGGAAAATGTCGTTCGAAATGACGTGATAGATTGACATGGCAAATCAAGATTATACGGGCAAATGACCTAGAATTTAACATGGCGAATATAAATGACAAGGGCGGATCACAAGGCAAGTGACATGTACGAATAATACGGTATATGAGGTGACAGTGCATGAACATTTGGGAAATAAAACGACCGATGAACTGGCCAACGTAACGACAATGCCTTACATGTTCTTTCCTTAAAAGGAAATAAACTTACTAGAGATTTTTTTTCTGTATTTCTATACTTTCATTGCATAGTGTTTCCTCCTTTTAAATTTGTTTTTTTTCCCTTGATGAATATATCTAGTTATATTCCATATAAGGATTTAAGCTATTTATAAGATCTCCACATAATTGTTTTGCGTGGTACGTAAACTACTCTTTGTAAGAATTAAATATCTATAAATGAATTTTAATGTGATAATGAAAAATCGAGAAAAAGAATTGTCTGATGATTTATTTTTCAAATTAGTTTATTTTACACCTTTTGTACGTTATTCCTCTAAAATATAATACTAAGCAGTTCAATTAAAGTAAGTATTTTGTTTTGGGACCCCCGTTTAGAGGGGTTATTCCAATGTAGGCCGATCAATTTAATAGATTTGCCAGTAGTCTTTGGCGTTTTGACAAACCACAGAAATGTATTATTAAATAATAATAGACTTCATGAGCAATGAGCATAACCTATTTTGTCAACATATATTACATATGTACGATGGATATTCACCTCAAATAAACTTGGGATCCATTATAAAAATAATAATGCTTAAATGACTAATATGCAACCTTTAATCTCGAAATAAAGTAAATGGTTAATACAATGAAAAACCCTAAATTGCTACACATGTGATAAATTTACCATAAACTAATTTTTTGACCATCAAAAACTCCAAACTGGTACACCTGTGATAAATTTGGCTAAAACTAATTTTTTTGACCATCAAAAACCCTAAACTGGTACATTTGTAACAAATTTATCCTCTGTTAAATTGGATTAAGACCACAAAAAATTACAAACTAGTAAATTAGTGGTAGAGAGGTAAAACCTTAAACTGGCACACCCGTTAACTGCCAAGTGTCATCCAACTTAGCAATTTGGAAGTAAAATTTAATCAAAACTAATGG